TGCAGGCCAGCTAGAAAAGGTACGGGAGGAGGTACCTAGCATACCTCCCCTGAGCGAAAAAAAAGAACCGCGACCACGCGGGAAATAATAAGACGATGAGAAAAATAGAGGGAAACAATGACCGAGGAAGAAGAGAAGAAAAAACAAAAAACAAAAACAAAAACCCCACACACACACACACAATGCACGGGCCTCACAAAAGTGTGTACTAAAAATGCACTACAGATCATTACAACGTTCCTGTACTACTTATAGTGTGTACATTGCCAATAACAACTGGTCCAAACGCCCCTTCAAAAACATGGCACAAAAAATAACTATTGGAGTTTGACGAGGGACGTGAATTGCATTCTGATTACTAGTATTTTGCACGGCTAATACAGCCTAGTTACACTTTAATATACGACATAAATAGAAGAGCGTGGCTCACCATGATCGGACCCCTATTATTAATGAAGGACACCCGCGCGTACACACACTACAAATATCACAAAATAAAATAAACCGAAAATAAATTTGTGAACGAAAGACGGATGAAAAAGAAAGAGAGAAATAAAGAAGGTAGCTGACCTGCATGACTTGGACGAGACGAGGTTGACATAGAAGAGACGAGGTTGACATGGACGAGACGAGGTTAACATAGACGAGAAGAGGTTGGAGACAAGACGAGGTTGGAGACGAGACGAGATGGACGAGACGAGTGGCGGTTTAGGACAAGGGTCGTGGGTTTCGAGCAATGGTCGGGCGCCAATGTTGAGTATGAATTAGGACAACGGACAACGGGAACAAGTTAGGTTGGTGGAACGACATTTATTCCCGTAGCTATGCAGAAGACGTTACTTCAGTAACGTCTGGCGCTAGCCAGGGTCCACACAGCTTTAATTTGGTGTTTGTTTGTTTGTTTGTTTATTTGTTTGTTTGTTTGTTTGTTTGTGTCACGCCTGGCGCTATCCCGTATCTGTCCCGTACTGTACCGTACCAGCCAAGACAGCTGGCCCCAATATTTTTGTTTGTTTGTGCCATCGAAATGCCTGGCGCTATCCCGTACCTGTCCCGTACCATCAAGGGTACGGCACCAACAAGAGAATGAGTATATATGCGAAGTGTATCGGGGGAATGCATTCAGTGCAGTAACATTTTGTGTGGATTTGTGTGCGAGGGCGAGATCCCACTAGCAGGCTGGCTGGGCCGCCTGTCGACCAGCCCGGGAATCGCATGTAGGCCGATAGCATAATAATTATAACGTTTATACAGTCATGTAGATGTATAGCAGGGAGTCATATTATGTAAACGACTCCCTGCTGTATGGGGAGATTTTCTGGAAAGAAATACGAAGTAGGGAGACGAGTAAATGCAATCAGAATGGATGTTAGTTGCTGTCAGTATAATAATAATAAGAAGAAGAACGTCCGTGATCGGCAGAGTCAGCGCCAGTCCCACGAAACGTCAGGACAGACATCCCGTCGACTCCAGAACGCCCGTGATCGGCAGATTCAGCGCCGCTCCCATAGCTATGCAGAAGACGTTACTTCAGTATCTCATTGAAACGTTTTTTCAATACAATGATGTAGCTAATCAAAGGAAAAAGCATTTCCATCAGTTCTAACAACATGCACGATGAGCTAGGCAACAAAGCATAGCGCAGGGCCCTGAGCTTCCAAGCTCTCTCGTTAGAGACGGGATGACTAAGACCAGGACGAACGAAACGGCTACATGGTGATTATTGAAGAGTGAGAAAGAGAAAGAGATCAAGTATGAACGGCAAGATAAAGGGCCTGGGTAGCTATGGCAATTATGGGCGCGCAAGTAGCTACCCAGGCCAACGGAACAAAAGGAGACAAAAGGTGAGTACGCGAGTGTATGCAGGCCAGCTAGAAAAGGGGACCGGGAGGAGGTAACTAACAGTTCCGCCTGGGTCTGACGCTGTTTGATTTCTCGATATCACACCTGCCAGGAAAGCACCTAGTCATTCCTGATGCACTCTCTCACTCTCCTGGTCTACAGTCGTCTTGTGCTAGTGCTGTAAGTTTCAACGAAAAGGTTGAAAAGTTTGCCTCCGCCACTGTTGACAGCATGCCGGCCTCTGATGCTCGCCTGGCAGAAATCTGAGACCATCAGCTAAACGATCCGGATTGTAAGTTACTTCGCCAGTATGTCGAAGGCAGCTGGTCACATCCCAAACATGTTCCGGCACCTTCAATAGCACAACGCTGAAGACAACTTAACTGTGTGCTTTGGTCTAATTATGTATGGACAAAAGATTGTCATCCCAAAGTCCTTGCGCCTGATGTACTCGAGCGACTCAACTCGGGCCATCTTGGCATCACGAAGTGCCGTGCCCGTGCCAAGCAGTCAGTGTGTTGGCCAGGATTGAGTGTTCAGCTGGCCAATTTCAGCGCGTCCTGCAAACCGTGTGTTCAACACTCACCGCCCGAAGGTTTAGGCGCTCCGTCCTAACACTCTTCCCGACCTGCCATGGCAGAATATTGCAGCCAACTTCATGCAATTCGACTCCGCAAACTACCTGGTTGTAGTATATTATTACTCCAGATATGTGGAGTTAGCATGTATGTCAATACTGCCTGCTTAGGCCGCGGTCACACCGAAACAAGCCACTTTGGGCTTGTTATCGCTTGCGCTCAGCTGGCTTGAGTGCTCCCTGTCGAGCGGTCACACCAGACACCGTGTGCGAAGCTTGAATGGCTTGTTTATTTTGCCCGCCAAATTTTGAATATCTCGAAACACACCAACGTTCGCGAGAGTTCGGAAAGCAGAACAGTGGCGATCTACAACTTGTGTTCAGTTTTGATGAAGAAGTAAAAATCAAGAACAACAACAAGAAGCAAAAGAAGCCCGGATCCTGAATTGCGACTTCTTGCTCTTTTTATTTGTTCGGTGCACATGGACGCGATGATTCGCGGTGACGTGGTTTCCTAATTTTGAGCTTTCTGCTCCGCCGGTTGCTGTTCTTCAATTCCGTCGCAATCCACTCTTTTCTTCGTACCTTTCTTCATGAATTCAGTTATAAGTTTGGTGCATTGTCTTGGCCTCGTACCACAGCTCCAACAATCTACGCTCTAGAGGAACCGGCAGTCTATATGAATGGTGTGTCCCAAGCGCACTCAAAATAATTTTTGAATTTCGGCTTTCAGCCGCTTGTACAAGCTGTGGCTGAAACAAGCTGGAAAAAACGGCTGCGAGTCAGCCACGGCTGAAAGTCGCTTGCAGGACATTTTCAGCCATTTCCATGGTAATCGTGACGTAAACAGGCGCTTTTTCGGCTGAATGGCTGAATCGAGCTCGGTGTGATCGCTGCCTAAGACTGTTATCAACGAGTTGTAGTCCATCTTTGCAACCCATGTTTTCCTTGAGACGTTCATCTCCGACCATAGCCCACCGTCCAGAGCGTACAGCTTGAACTTACCGGCAGCAGTACGGCATACATCACCACACGAGCAGTCTGCTCCCTCCGCAGGGCAATGACCTCGCCGAGCGTACGGTCAGAGTCAGTCAAGTCGCTACTAGTAAAAGGGTCTCACCTTAATGGCGCGCTGCTAAGCTATTGCTCAACATCCCTCGAATGCAGGTTCAACCCAGCATAGCTTCTCATGGGCCACCATCTACAGTCCCAGACAACACTCAGCTCCTCGCGGCGGGAAAAATTGCAATTGCGGAGCATGCTTTTCGGCCTTTTTCCTTCAACATGACACTGCGCAACGTTCAAAACCCCACACCATGATGGCATAAATTGCCGCATGTGTGGCTAGCAGGTTACCGGGTCCCTAGCTTCGCCAAACTACGGACATTGGTAGACAGTAGAGCCGTGAGTATGCCTATGATTTTAATGACTACACCGGGGAGTCGTAACTCTCGAGTAAAAGCCACGACTACCTGGTCTACACTATACTAGCACTATGACTCGTTGATTGTCAAGATTACAATCATTGAGTACTGCTACATGCTTCCTCCGCGTCATTAAAATTGTCACTTCGCACATCGCAATGTTTGTGACTTGGCTCATCTTAGTCAGATAGTCGGAATCTCTGTTTTCTGTGTTCGAACATTGGTGCGACCCTTCCTGCGCAATGTCTACTTGTTACTGAAGCCGTGAGTGGTCTCGGACTTTGTCGGAGCTCTCTTCCGCACCAAGCAAATTCATCGCGCTTCGCACTAGTCCGCCCCACGGCGCATATCGTTTTTCTGGAGTTCGTGCCGTCCCACATCGTTCGCGTGGGCATTTATCAAAGCTGCAAGCTCGAGTGTAAGACTCCTGGTATCTCTCCTGAATATGAAATGCTGAGGTTGACAAAGGCAAGAACAAAGTGTTCTCAAATTCCAAAAATGTGGTACTTGTGGCGCATGTTGCTGCGAAGGTAGCAGGTCTGAAAACCCCAACAAAATCGGCGAATCACTGGCCAAGGAAAGAAGGTGCGGAACAGCTTATCCTATCCCGCTGGAAGGTCGTTACAGAGTACTTGAAAAATGCTAGCTTGTCTTCATTGCCTGCCACCTGGAGGCATGGATCGCTTGAAACGAAGTTTCTTGACCTGAATTTGAACGTGCGTCATGTTCAGCGTATTGTTGAGTGCTGAAGGGTCTGTCTCAAACCCTGATGAAGACGTCGACCTTTGCTGCAAGTGCAGCGAAACGGGAGGCCACAAACTAAAACTTGGTCCATTGACAATGCTCTGCCTCAATTTCTAGCTGATTTCTTTGCCTTTCGAGTGTACAAAACAATTTGGAAAAATCGCTGTGGGAAGTGACAGTTTTAATGACGCGGAGGAAGTACATGTTTATGCACTAGTGTTGAACGCTCACCGGTGCACTCACAAAACTGCATTGAAAACATCATTGCAAAGAGGTGCGTTTAGCACATTAGAGGGGTTTCCGGGCAACAGGAACCTACCCCATGCGTACGCGCCTGCACTCATTTGCCAAAGGTGCACACTCTTTGCTTATAGACTCGTGACTATTACAGTTCAAGAGATTTCTTAACTCACCATGCCCTCTACGGAGACCATGTCGGGCTGGATATCTAGTAGATACTTGACCACTTCCAGATGTCCAGTGTCAGCAGCGCCATGAACAGGAAGGTCACCAGCCTGTGTGCAGGTAAAGACAAGATCAGACATTCATATGTGCAATCTATCTGCAGTCTGTTTCTTATATAATATGATGCGCAATCTTCTGCGAGTCACGTGATTTTAATGTAGGCTACTCTGATTGCTCAATTTGCAATGTTCCTCTAAGCTAGGTCTGGAAAAAACAATTGAACACATTAGCATCTCACGATACACGACAGTGGCTTCTAAACACACACACACACGCGTGCGCACACACACGCACACACACACACACGTCAGGCGAAATTACTGGTCAGTCGGCGACACGCATTTTTCACAAAAATTTGAGTTTCACCTGCTGGGAGAGTATGCGTGTACTCGAGTCTCATCCTGAGCACGTTTTTTTCTTCTTTTTTCAGCTCCAGTATAGCTGTATTTTTCACTGCAAAGCCGTCCTCGATTGTTGTGTTCGTTGTTCAAACGAAGTGGACATTCAATCATGAAGGCAGAGGACATAGGAGCCTGATTGGAGTTTCTCGTGGCATAGGACGGCCACACAGACACTTTGGGATTTTCTGAATATAAAATACCGTACGCACGATGCTGAGATCAATTTGTGCGATATCAAATTGTTTGTGATCTACCACATCGAGCAGAACAGGATCCAAACACAAGCTTACCGACGGTTAGGCTGCCCACCTGACTGGACAAATGATCCCTGGCTTTCACCAGACGCCAGAAGTCGGACACAATGTCCTTTGCCTTGACGTCCATCTCCAAAATGAACTCCATTTTCGTCGCGAAGAGGCTTGAAATACTCAATATTCAACCGAGATTCGCGGCCTCACCCTTTCTCAGATCGAATCATTTTTTGTTGTAGCAGTTGCAGGGCAGATCCCCGCCACTACTTCAACAGGAGATGGCTCCAAAGCATGCCTGGAACAACTCATATCGAGGTTGCAAGCCACCCCTCTCAGCAAGAAATTCGAAATTTCAATGGTGGAAGATATACTATGAAGAGAATTTCAAAAAGCATGTTTCGCGGAGCGATCGCTGAACCTACGTCATTCAAACTTTGCAGGGTGGTTCAGACGTACATGCTAGGCATGGAACCACAGGAAATGATATCATAGCTGACACACAGAGTCACACACACAGCAGCCTTCGTGTGCACAGATACTAAATTAGTGGACGTCGTCATCTTCTTCCCGCTGATCTCAAATGGACTATGACGTGCTATTTCGCCTGACGCACGCACACACACACACACACACACACACACCTTGACCTTGACCTTTGACGCCCATCGCCGGAGGCGATGATAGCAATGCTACGGCAGAAGCCAGCAACTTGTGCTGGGATTACACCATTCAACAGCTTGCAAGGCTGAAGAATTGACCGTCACTATTCAGCCTGGTCTACACCATACAGCTATTTGGAGTGACATTTTCTGCCCAGTGAATCCCTTTTTTGGTCTTTTTCATTTTTTTCTTTTTCTTTTTTTTCTTTTTTTTTCCTGCACACACATCACACCACATACTCCGGCATGCACTGGCTGTTGGTAACCACCCAGGAGAACGAAAGAAAAGTCAGGAAGAGTCTGAGAAAGAGAAGAAAGACGTGTGTGACCATAATCGTCGGGAATCGAACCCGCAATCTATCGATTGGAAATCGCTGCACATACCACTGCACCATATGGGACACACACACACACACACACACACACACACACACACACACACACACACACACACACACACACACACACACATACACACACACACTCACTCACTCAAAAATCCTGCAATGGAAAAATGGCACTTAGGGAATGTACCTTGCTACTACCAAATAAAACCATTATTTTCTGGCATTGAGAATGGTCTATTACACAAATAAAACCATTACTGTCTGGTATTGAGAATGGTCTATTACACAAATAAAACCATTACTTTCTGGCATTGAGAATGGTCTATTACACAAATAAAACCATTACTTTCTGACATTGAGAATGGTCTATTACACAAATAAAACCATTACTTTCTGACATTGAGAATGGTCTATTACACAAATAAAGGCATGGATAGTCTACGTACATAACTCCTTTGAACTGCGATGTACACATCATCTATCACACTACATGTCTGCATTGATATCAGACCAGGTGTGTTTGAAACTGACTGGACTAGGAAACATGTGACAATGCTACATTGCTACTCCAAAATGTACTTCTCAATACACATTATGGTTGAATGAATTTACAATGTTACGCTCGACCGACACCAGTCAATTATCTAGTCATACTCTCCACCCATAACCTCAGAATGATTATCATGCTTCTTGCATGAAATGGTGTGCTAGGATGGTAAGTTTCACCCATGTTCCTGACAACATGGTTCACATTCCCTACAGCCTACCAGAGTACTTTACTCACCATCACCAACTATCCACACACTGTCTTCTATTCTACAAGTAATCTCAGCATCGGTTCTAAAATGAGCGCGTACATGTCACGGACATCGTATAATAATCCATGGGTGTCGATATTTGTGGTAATAAAATGGTTATGAGTTTCCAATCTGAAACAGACACCAATGTGGTTCACCAGCATAAACACGGTTGCTGTACAGGCAAAGTCTGGCATCTCTGACTAATACATGAGTCAATATTGAGTCATCCTTCAATGTACAGGCAGAGTGGTGTGCAACTTACATCATCAGTCTTGTCTACCTTGGCTTTACACTTGACAAGGTGCTTGGCAATATCGATGTAACCCTTCTTACATGCTCTATGTAGTGGCGTGCACCTCCATAAACCCTAGTAAGAACGACATAGGTAGTGTAGGCATGTGTATACCCACACACACCACACATGTACAGACCGCCAGCCCAACAACATGTACACACAAACACACGCACACGCGTACGAACACACGCACACACACAGAACACACACACACACACACATGCGCACACACACACGCGCAGAACACACACACACATACACATACACACACATACAGACAGACAGACATATACACACATACTTGTACTTGTTGCTCACTGCCAAAACAGGTCACGTGGATCTCCCCGGGAGAGGGGAGAGAGACTCGAAAGGAATCTTGGAAAGATGACTCAATTGGCTATTGAACCACCCAACGGCCGAAACCCCCTGAAATCCCCAAAACTCTGGGTGGACTTGAAAATGATCCCACTTATGGGCTCACCACACCTCAGTAAGTGGGCGAGGACAAGGTGCAGAAAAAGGATTGACGGCATCAGGGTATCCGCCCCGTGATTCAACTGCAGTTACCCCTGCCCCCAGTGAAGGTAATACTTGCAACTAGTGTGGGTCGCTAAATCAGAGTGGATCTGATATAGGCTTCACTAGCACCATTGATTACACAAGAGTTAATCTAGCCAGAAGCAGTCCATGGTTAACAGATATGTACAGGTCCTCCCTCGTCAGTAGATAATCTCTGTGCCATCGAAAAAGTTATCTTATAACGAGACTTATCTATACTTCAAATAGAAAAAAATTCCTCCGTATACAAAAACTTCGTGACTTTTTTAACAGTGTTTTTAGCAAGAACCTGCTCAACGAACCGCGCCAAAGGCTGTCATCGACAACCCACATTCATGTCGAGGTAAGTTTGGTTGATCCCGAACAGATTCTCCACGGCAGTCATGCTCGCACGGCAAGATGAAACATTTCAGTCGTCGTGCAACCAGCGCAGACTTCAGATCAGAATGTTGACGGCCTGGCTTTCTTCGCCTCACTCCAGTCAGACGTCTCCTTTGTCGCCAAGGGGAATCGCAGGGACCTCCTCAAAGCCATTGTAGAATGCTGGGAGGATTATCCTGGCGAGAAAATGCGAAGCGTGTGGATGTGCTTGTACGACTCGTTTCACGGCATAATGGAGGTCACGGCTTGGAACGATTGAATAGTCGACACCGATTCGTACACAGCTCTGGAGATGAAGAGGACGTAGCCAAAGTCCAGCGTCGGATCATCACTGTAGCTGACAAGAATCTGAACGAAATGCGAGCGGAAGCAGCGACTGTTGGCGATGCGGAGTCATTATCGTCAGGTGACAATGACACGAGCTACGAAGACTCTGAAAAAACACAATCTCATTCGTCTGAGTTGGGTTTTTCTCTGTATATAGCTTGTAAACAGGTTAGACAATGCCACGAGTGTTATTCCAAGTCAAACGGAACAATTCCAGAGCTGTGCGCAGCTTTCAAAAAAAAATCACGAAGTTTTTGTATACGGAGGAAGTATATGAACCCTGGAACCAACAAAGGTGGCAGGTACAACATTACACCTTCAAGCAGCTGAGACCATTGGCAACAGACCCAGCACAATCAGGCATAAGTGTGCCCACGAACCGGACTAGCTGACACACACACACACACACACACACACACACACACACACACACACACACACACACAAACCCACACATACACAGAACACACAAACACACACACACACACATACACAGAACACACTTACACACACACACACATGCGCAAACGCACAAATGTACAAGCATAGCTGCATCATTGGTCGCAATGGTATAGCAATGTTCACTGCTTTTTAAGAACATTGTTGAGATCGCAAGGGCCTGTAGAAACATGCCCTGCAAGTTGTGGATCTGATGTCTGCTAATTGGTCTGTATACTGAAGATGTTCCACTGTATTATACCTATTGACTGAAGCCATACTAAACAATGGTCATGGTTATGTACACTGTATCCCAAGCAAATTTTAATCTTGTAGAAAATGTCTGCAATGCTCTGCTCGTTGTTGTCTGAACAATAGAAGTAGGGACTCTACTGACTCACTCAGTACCCTTGCAGGAAGCATACAAAGAGGTACTCGATAGGGGATAAGGCAGGGTAAGGTTAATGGATTGACATACATCATTACTTCACATACGGCAGGTCAACAAGAGCTGGCTATCATCCTATGACATAACTATCCATTAGTGACTTCGTTTTATTTTTTATTATTTTAAGGTAAACGCTATTTGATTAAAAGGTCCATAATGATAAACGTAGAACGGAAAAGGACATATGGATACGAGTTAAGAGTAACTCTCCATCACTGTAACTGGATACTATATACAGTCAGAAAGTGCAATAACTAGGCACAAAACTGACAAGAGTACTGAGACATTCAACGTATAATTATAGTATCCAGTTACAGTGATGGAGAGTTACTATTAACTCGTATCCATATGTACTTTTCCTTTCCACATTTATTTATGGCTCAACATCCCAGTTTCAAATAATGATAATTCCTTTGGAATTTCAAGGTAGAGTACTCCTGACGTTGCTAGACATTGACCTACAAGTCTTGTTTGAGCAGAGTGATACCACCGGTATCACACAGCTGCATCCACCCATTCTACTCAATCTGGCAATTGAGAAATGTCACACTGTTCTCACTACCGCAGTCAGTATCTTATAACAGCATTTTGGATCAGGCATTAGACACCCTTAGCAAAAAAACGTTATGTTGTAATGGTATTACCGTAAGGGGGAAAATACCGTGATTTGGGTTCGACCTTTAGCAAGATGCACACTATTTTTAGTACGCTGTTGCCACGAGAATAGCTTTTATTTCGCGCGGTACAACCATTTATGTCACCATATACGCGATACAAGGTGAAATGCGTACGGACTATGCAATATTTGGCCAAAAAACGTACCGTTGGTCACAACGATAAATCAGCCCCCATAACGTTTTTACACTGCAGCTTCAACCCTATTTGGGTGATCAAGGTACGAGTACTGTAAAAAATAGCGTTACCGTTGTTTGCTAAGGGCGTCTATCGTCAAAAGTACTGCCGGGCGGAGAAGAACGAAGTGCCGAAGAATTTCCCAGCTAGAATTTTACCAAATACAGCATACCAATGTATACACGGTAACTCAACTGTGCATAGACTGTAGTAAATGATAATAAGAACAGTCTAGGCTAGGAGGCTGCCCCCCCCCCCCCCCCTCACACCCAGTTCCTCGACGACCGACAGTACTGTAGCTAAGTTGCTAATTTGCGCTGAGTCATAATTATGTTTATCACATGGCACGTGATTGTTGCCCGTACTCCAGCGAATCAGCACCTTTCGCGCCGCGGGCAATAATATGCGATATTGCCCGCAAAAAAATAGTTTATTTGCCCGCAAAAAAATAGTTTATTTCAGTGATCGCGTGACTACGAAGACTGTAGACTCGTACTCTACGACGAGTCGCAGTGTAGCATTGAGAAGATGGAATTCTTTTTGGAGATGGACATCCCGGCAATGGACATGGCCTCGGACGTCTGCCGTGTGGTGCTTGCAGGGATCATTTGTTCAGTCATGTTGGCAGCCTGACCGTCGGTAAGCTTGTGGATAAGATTCAGTTCTGCTCGAAGTGGTACTGTGATCACAAACAATTATTTGAAATAACACAAATTCAACTCAGCGTCGTGCGTTTTCAGATCCTCGCAAAGTCACTGCCTGTGTGTGGTCTTCATGTGCCACGCAAAACTCTTACCAGGCTCATATGTCCTCTGCCTTCACCTTTGCTTGAACAACAAACACAACAATTCAGGAATGTTTTGCAATGAAAAACACAGCTATCTGGAGCTGAAAAAAAGAAGAAAAATTGTCCTCAGAATTGCACACCAGGGAGTCGTCAAATGCTTGCACTTGTTGCAGTACTGTATTTGACAACTTCCTGATACACATGTAAACATGAAGAAACTCTTTGTGGTAGCACTCTTTTTAATTTTTCAACTGAAATTATGATTCTGCTGTATTTTATTGTCGTTGCCATGTCTATTGCTATGACGATGCGGTGCCGGCACTTTTTTTCTGTCTCCGTCTTTCAGTGCTGTATACTCTCTGATGGCCTGTAGCAGACTTTTGTTAGGGTGTAGGAGAAATATCTTCATTTTTCCTGTTTTGATAATGATAGCACATCAATATACATTGTGGTCATAATGTGTTGGCATTTGGGCTAATTTCAACAGCAGCCCAATGGTCTGCTCTGTGGGCCATGTGATAAATTTGTTATCGCATGGTTGCTGCGGGCCTTATGGCATGTTATTGCCCCTCGAGGTTAGCCCTCGGGCCTACGGCCCTCGGGCTAACCTCTCGGGGCAATAATATGCCATAAGGCCCTTGCAACCATGCGATAACATATACTTACTTCCTGAATGCTGTGTTTCACTCATATCTGACATAAAATCATGCCGCAGAACGAGACTCGTATTTAAAAAACTTGTAGTTCCTTGGTCCTTTTTCTTCTTCTATAAGTTAAAAAAACTTATTAAAATGATGTACCTCCTAACCCTCTAACCCCCCCCCCCCCCCCCTTAGTCAGTTAGTGTTCACATATACATGCATGGACTGTCATACGCATGTATGCACGCGACACCGTTTGTGCTCCTATCCATTTACATGTTCCGCTTCCCCTGTGCGCATGCACGCACACCACTACATTCTGTTGGCATCATGTCACAGAGCTTTCCGGAGCTAGTTGTTGTTTGGAATAAAGCAAGAAAACACATTACACCCCCCCCCCTTACATCCCCCTCTTACCTAACATTACCCCCCCCCCTACTTTTAAACATTACACCCCTTACCTAACATTACACCCCCTCACCTAACATTACACCCCCTCACCTAACATTACACCCCCTCACCTAACATTACACCCCCTCACCTAACATTACACCTCCCCCCCCCCCTACCTCCAATAAAGACGCAATCACATGCACAAATTGCACACATGCAAACACCTCGACATTCACATTTAAAGCCAGTCAGTGTAAGTTACCGAGCAGTGTGCTTAGTACCTGGGACAGTGTCAGCAATGCAAATACACATACACACAGACCTACCCTATCGTTATACAACTGGTTGATGACTGTTTCTCCGCAACAGTCTGCAAGGATGCAGGCACACTCCAGGCGGCGATAATCGCAGGCATCGAATAGCAGTCGACCCTGGTATGCAGGAACGGTATGAACACAAAATCAAGCAACATACACACGCACGCACGCACGCATGGACACACACACATACATACACACACACACACACACACACGTACGCATGCACACACCCACACTCACACACACACGCACACATGCACACACACACATACATGAATATACACACATACACGAATACACACAAGCATGTATATTCAAACATTGATGTACATCCATATCCACATACTTGTTCTTTCTAACAGACAACAACAGTTGCTGGTCACTTGGGTCTCCCGAAAAGGGGAGAGGGACAATCCATTAATTATGATATTACAAGATTACTTAAGTAGCTATGGAAACGACCACTTTTCACACCAAGGTGAATGTCTGGACCCTGGGTGGGTTGGAGATGATCCCACATAGTCTGGACTGCTAAATCAGAGTGGGTCTGATAAAGGATTCACTGGTACTATTGATTACACAAGAAAATAATGAAAAGTCCAAAAGTAGTCCACTGGTACATATGTATGTATATTGTGAACAAAGACTAAGAAAGATAGGAGAAATCACATGGAAACGAGTCAACAAAGCAACTATTCACGACTGTAACAAGATATTACTCGGTCAGAAAGTGCGATAATAGGGCACAAAACTGACATGTTACTGAGACATTCAACGACCTGAGACCTAGCTCTCACACACTTCCAGTGCGCAAACCAACAGCGTTCAAGCTTGGAAGGTTCAAGGTTAACGTAGGACCAATGAGGGGAAGGTGAGCGCAGCGAAAATGTGCACAAGCTAAGTTCCATGGCAACAAAGCATGCTTCCCCTTTTCTTAATCTCTGATATTGCTGACCCACCCAAGTTGGGTGGTGTGTTGCTTTGCTGCTTCGAATTGTACTAACTGTTAGACTGCATTGTCATGTTATTAACTGGTCTCGTCATGGTCCTGTAACAGTCAGCATTCTTTGTTGCCGTGGGACTTAGCTTATGCAGAGTTTTGCTGCACTCACCTTCCCCTCATTGGTCTTACCATAACCTTGAACCTTCCAAGCTGGAAGGCTGTTGGTTTGCGCACTGGAGGTGTGTGAGAGCTAGGTCTCAGGTTGCTGACTGTCACAGTAACATGACAGTTTTGTGCCCTGTTATCGCACTTTCTGACTGAGTAATATATTGTAACAGTCGTGGATAGTTGCTTCATAACTCGTTTCCATGTGATTTCTTCTATTTTAATTATATTTATTGGCTCAGTATCCGAGTTAAAGACTAAGAAGTGTTTATTGAAGTTGACACCAACACAGACGACAGGCACAACAATATAACAACACGCAGTGGAGTCTGATGGCTAAAGATCCATCCGTGATCTTGCTATAGACAGCTGTCACACACACGACCGCATGCACATATTCACAAATGCATGCACGCATGCACACGCACACACTCACACACACACACACACACGCACGCACACACACACACACAGAAACACATATGCCCACATACCACCATACGCGCGGGCACGCACACACACACACACACACACACACACACACACCTTGTCCTGGTCCTGGTAAACATTGCCATTACGGTCACGTGCCCGCTTGCGGGGCCGACAACATGGAACGACGAGTGACGACAGAAAGTGGGCGATTTGCCGAGAGATCAGGGACCATGTTGAATTGGTACCACGAGAGAGCCATCTCCGGCAGCTATGGATATGGAAGCCACGAGTAGAGCGGAAGCACCGACAACAGGCCCCACAGTGGGCCTTGCAGCATAAGAGATCGAACCCCACGCGCGGTGGCGGAGGAATGAGCTGAGCAGCAATGGTGGACACCGCTGTTCGACATGGAGCTTGACACGATGCCGTGGGGAGCGCCTGGGAGATGGGGCACTTGTGGACTGCCAAACCTCCAGCACTGCGGAACCAGCGCTGGCAGGCAGAACATTGTCGGCTACCTCTCTATACCGATATAGGTTTGCGGCGTTCACCTAGGCATTTGTGACGAGGCAAACCACTCCTGGAGAAGAGACGACCACACTTCGCACAAGGTAACCGCAGGGGCGCACAAACGGGTTCGGGCGGGGGGGGGGGGGGCAGAACATTGTAAGCAGCCCGCCATTCCCGTCTATCCTCGGCAAAGTCGTACCGTTTGTCGATGCCCAACACCGCCAGATCCCTCCGCGCAGCATTGCGCCACCTTTTTCTCGGGCCGCATATCGGACGGACAGGATGCAGGGTACCAAACAGTAGCTGACGGGGCACGCTATTCATGCATTTGCACAACATGCTCAAGCCACTCCATGTGGCGCGATGTCAGCAGGCTGGGGATGTCACGGGGCTGACACGGATTCCATCGCGCCAGAACATCAACCCTGGTCAGTCGTTCGTCCACCCATTACAAAACAAATGCAGCGCAGATGGAAAGAGCACAGTGCATCAAGGTCGGGCTTCAATGGCACCCAGCACTCAGCACAGTACAGAAGCAGAGATAACATGCATGCCTCGTACACAAGCCGCTTCGTAGCAAGGGAAAGGTTGCTGTCAAATGCACGTGATGCACCGGCAATGCGTGAGCTGATATCCGGGGTGGATCGGCCATTCGTGTGAAGGAGGGAGCCAAGATAACGAAAACTATCTACACACTCGACCACCTCACCCGCCACGTCCAGGGGCAGCCGGTCTGCTTCCGTGAGTCCATATCCAGCAGCCATCGCCTTTGTCTTGTCCAAGTTGACTATCAAGCCGACAGAAGACGCTACATATATGACTAGGTCAAGGGCCCGCTGTGCATCATCATGAGTGGTAGCCAGCAAACACACGCACCCGCCCGCCCGCCTGCCCGCACGCACGCATTCACGCGCACACACACACACACACACACACACACACACAGACACACACACACACACACACACACACACACACAGACACACACACACATACACACACACACACACAAGCCAGCCCTCAAAACCATGCACCCCCCCTCCACAACACACACATACGCACCTGTCCTGTAGTGCATCTGCTTCATAACATTACTCATTCATGTCTCCTCCAGAGATGACACATGCCCGCACACGCACGCACGCACAGACCAATGCATACACACACAACACACACACATACACACACACGAGCGCACACGTGCGCTTACAAGTCACACCCGGGGAATGCCTCACCATTTTTCGGGCTGATGCTAGCTTTTGAAACTCACGACAACAAAGTGCTATGATCGCAGCTCAGTGTCAACTTGGAAAATCAAACTTTCACATTTCCCAAATAAAGAATATGGCAAGTTTCTGCTACGATGGAGTGTAGGACAATGGCAAGTTGCTGTTACGCCGGAGTGTGGACAGTAGCCAAGGGCTGGCGAACGTCACCTTTTCTGGTTTGAGAACACCCGTCGCAGCTTTCTTGAAAATCACTTCACATCACTGGACAAGACTCGTCTCCAAGTTCGGAACTCTGTTCTATAAAGTCATCTCAAGAAACATGCGTATTGCGCGGCTGTGTCAGGTGTATCTGGGAGATCGTGTACGATTGTCGACCGGGCAGCGGTTTGCGAAGACAACATCGCACAAGAAAAACATATCGGTAGTCAAGAAGATACTAGGCCAAAAAAGCAGGAACTCCAACGGTAGGAGTAGTCACCTTGTTCAAACGTATCTTGTCAGTGAAACTGTGAGTGTGTCCATTGAAATTGCTGGAGGAATCAGGGAATGGCGATGATACTCGGTGAAGTCAAGCCACAGTAATAGTCCAGTGGACAGTGGATAAACACAAGCTGTGATCACAATTGGCACGTTTACTCGTGAAACCACACGTTTATTCATTTTTGCTGCCTTTTGGTGCGTTATGCGTGTGGAACGAACCGAAGTGAAAACTCAAACATGTTCTATTTTTCAGCGCGTACATAATGTACATGTCTGTGACCAGTCCAGCAGCAATCCAACAGCCGCCAGTGCTCCCAGTGCCACCGATGGTTTCTGAGTGCAGATTGCATTGCAGTCCATCGCTGTGCCCAGTCCAGTTCTGCCCTGAATGTTGCCAATGCCACAAGCTCTTCACCTGTACGCCTATGTATTCGGAAACCGTGCTGTACCGCTCACTGTCCCATTTGTGAACGTTGCTGCAAGTCGATCCGGGGCTTTGCTATCCACAACTGCAACCGATCCACCAGGCGCCCAACTGCTGATGAAAGGGACACGTTCCAATTGCAATGTCAGAATTGCCAGAGGCGTTTCAAAAGGCGAAACGACTTATCCCGAAACCAACGCTCGTGTCTCCTCTCGTCTCCGTCTCGCTCAACGAGAAACAAGTGACCTACATGGCAGTGTATACCAGGACCAGGGACCAGGTGTGTGTGTGTGTGTGTGTGCGTGTGTGTGTGTGTGCGCGTGTGTGTGTGTGTGTGTGTGTGTGTGTGTGTTTCTGTGTGTGTCAATGTGTATGTGTATAACTATGTGCATATTACCTACCAGTAATGGCTCCTTCTCTCGCTCACAGTTGGTATATGTCAGGTTTGATACACCTTCCTTCAAGGTACCGTCCTCTTGAAGGATTGCCTTCCTCAACTTCTGATGATCGTTCCTCCGTACAAGGTGGAGTAGGTACCCCGCCCTGAGAAGAGTCTTCGTTGCCATGGTTACACCTGTAGTACACCGGACAAAATGAGAGAAATTCCAGTCAATGCTAATGTATGCTATGTTTGTCATAACTATGCAAAACATCACAATACAATAGACTCTCATAGGCATACTGTGCCACTCCTGCCTGGATTGGCAGTTGAGTAGAAGTGTGCAGATAAGAATTGAATGCTTGAGTAACAAGTAGAATGTCGAGCACACTTGAGGATCTCTACGTACATGTCAAGGCATATATGAAATCAAAGTACATAGTATTTGCCTGGTCAGACAGCAGCACATAAATACTCATGGGATCACTCTACAAATCTTCATAGTAACTTCACAACACGACGGCAACAGCTGCTGGGTTTAATGTTGCAGG